CAGATCCCATTTTCTCCTTATGGTTGACTAGCTTCTGTGGATCTTCCCAGTAAACAAAAAGAGATCTCTACAGCATACTTCATGGATGCTCATGGGGACCTTCCATGGAACATGCTGTAAAAGAATTGGTTACATTGGAAGAGGCCCAAAGATCTGCTTGGACCGCTAGCCCTTCCTTGAATCATGATGTGGAAAAGATCCCCTGAAGAAAAAGAGAGAGAACCTCATCCTCAAACATAAGAAAAGCCTTCTGTCCCCACAGTGACCAGCAACAAACCAGACCTTGTTGGCATGCAGTGCCCTCCTGCTTGTTTTTCCCAGCCATCGATCTTCAGAAATGTCCTGTTGACATTTTATAGTCTTCCTGACTACTAGCCATTGGCAAGTGTGGTCTGGCTCATTCTGAAGCCATCTGTTTATTTATTTTAAGCGTTTGTATTCTGCCCTTCTTACCCTGAAGGGGATTCAGGGCAGATCACAGAACACATATATGGCAAACATTCAGTGCCGTTAAACAGACAGGACAACAGATAGAGGTATATGTCAGCGTTTTCCCCAACTTTGGCATTCTGGAGGTTGTGCTCGATTCCAGTCACGGGGAGCTGTCGCTCTATCCTCTGTGAAGAAGAGCCCTTGATTACAGACTTCCTCCTTCCTTTGATTACCGGCATTTTCTGGTATTTCCCTTTTATGGTGTCATAAAATACCTCCCCGCTTAAGTGGTGCCTAATTTCTCTACTCACAGCTCACAACTGTTTTTGAACTGCTTAGGTGGAGAGCGAGCTGAGCTGAAGGTTGGGTGCTTACTCTGACCCGGGCTTCGAACTGCCAACCTTTTGATTAGTGTGATCTATTGCTGATGATAATTAACAGCTGTGCTAAAGCCTGGCAGCGCTCACTAGATTGGCAGTCCTCACTATGTCCTCCTGGGTGCAATTCCATCAATATTAACTGTGAGCTGTTTAAAGAAGCACTACGTTTTGCAGTTTTGCAATTCATCTCGCTTGGATGAACCTGAGCTCGAGCATTTGGGAGAACAAGGATACCTAGATGCCTGTCCTTCACAATCAAAGAGTGTGGCATTCTTGCTATTCTGATGCTTGGTCAGATCATATGGTATACAGTATTCCCTCACTTGTTGTGGGTGTTGCATTCCAGGACCACCCGCGAAAAGTGAAAATCCACGAAGTAGGGACGCTATATTTATTTTAATATTTATACATTTATTTTAGTAGTTATACACTATTTTAAATCTTTATAAACCTTCCCCAGACACTTATACACTACATAACCCTCCTTGAATGTGTTGTTCACGTAATCCAGGGATCCTCAAACTTTTTAAACAGGGCCAGGTCACAGTCCCTCAAACTGTTGGAGGGCCGGATTATAATTTGAAAAAAGCATGAATGAATTCCTGTGCGCACTGCACATATCTTATTTGTAGTGCAAAAAATACTTAAAAATACAATAATTAAAATGAACAATTAGTATTTCAATGAGAAGTGTGGGCCTGTTTTTGGCTGATGAGATAGGATTGTTGTTGTTGTTGTGTGCTTTCAAGTAGTTTCAGACATAGGTTGACCCTGAGCGAGGGCCAGGTAAATTACCTTGGAGGGCTGTATCTGGTCCTCGGGCCTTAGTTTGAGGACCCCTGATGTAATCCCTTGGCTCCGGCTTTATCCGCAGAGGCAGCCTCTCCATCCAGACAAACGCACTTAAGTCCATAGCGCTTCTGAAATTTATCAAACCAGCCCTTGCTGGCAGTGAATTTGCCTGGTTTGGTGGGAGAACCAGTCGATGTCAATGGTCGAGTACTGCAAAAACCCGCAAAACAGCGCAAATACTGTGAAAAATATTTTGCATTAATATTTATTGAAAAACCGCAAAATAGCGAGTCCGTGAAAAGTGAGGGATTACTTTATCCCGTTCGAAGGAAACCAAAGCATTCATGAAAGATGGCCGCTGTATAAAAAGGGAACGTAACAGCAACCTAGAGAAGTTGACAACATTTTAAAATCTTCCATCGTTTCTCAGGCTTGTTTGTGTACAGAGTAAAGGCCTTTTGGTGTGAAGGGAGTACCTTTTCTTGTGTGCCCTTTTTTTATCTGGAATTTTTGTGTAAAGCAAACCTGTGCCACTCAGGTTTACTTTGCATGTGTGTTTAACCGTTGCTGCTACTTTGCAGAGGTCATTCATTTCTGGCGTGGGTTTGAGGGCCGTCTCTGGAGTAGGCTTGGTTGGCCATTCCGTGCTCTTTTTTTCTCATTATGCCTTCAGAACGAATTTCCACCGTTTCTTTAACACTACATTAACATCATATTGGAGCTGGGTTGTAGGCAGGTCGTGCTGCATTTCCTGCGTTTTAAGTGGTTTGGGTTTCCCAAAGGAAAGTTTATATTCTAGTCTTGTTGCTGTGATTATAAATGACTGTATGCACAGAACATGAATCATGGTTAAAATGGGCGGCTTGTAGTAATTCAAACAGCATTGATTTTGTTTTCTCACTGTGTGTGAGATGAGCTTTGCCTGTAATTGTATTTTATGTTCATGGATGTTTTCTCTTTGGGGATTATTAAGTTAGGGATGCATACATGTATGAATTTTGCTAGTAGGAGCAAAGTAGGAGCCATTTTGAGATTCAAAAAGACCCCTTTTCCATATGATAACAACTCTGCTAGGAGTGAAATTTCCTTTCCAGGGAAAGATTTCTCTCACTTCCCATTCGTAACTACGGGTCGTTTGTAAGTTGAAACAATGGTCTGAGTATATGTGTGTGTTTATGTGTTTGTGTGTGTGCATGCATGCATTATATCTATATATCTATATATATCGCTATATCTATATCTGGAGCCCCCGGTGGCGCAATGGATTAAAGCGCTGTTCGCAGGTTCAAATCCGGGGAGCAATGTGAGCTTCCGTTGTTAGCCCCAGCATCTGCCAACCTAGCAGTTCGAAAACATGCAAATGTGAGTAGATCAATAGGTACTGCTCCGGCGGGAAGGCAATGGCGCTCCATGCAGTCATGCTGGCCACATGACCTTGGAGGAGTCTACGGACAATGCCAGCTCTTGAACTTAGAAATGGAGATGAGCACCATACCCCAGAGTCGGACACGACTGGACTTCATGTCAGGGGGAAACCTTTACCTTATATCTCTATATAGATATATTTGTGTTGTTGAGCAGATCTTTTCATCCTTTCATAATAGTATGAGGTTGCATTCATTTAATTTACAAAGCAACTTGACTTATTATTTTTTTTCTTGGTCATGTCCTATATAGAGTAAGTCAACAGTTGAGATGCTACTTGAATGAAAAACTATAATTAGTATAATTTGAATACTCAAGACTTATTTTTTTCAGTGTCTGGAGTGACATGAGAAACTGCAAGTCACTTCTGGTGTGAAAGAATTAACCGTCTGCAAGGATGTGACCCAGGGAATGCCTGGATGTTTTGATGTTTACCATCCTTGTGGGAGGTTTCTCTTATGTCCCCACATGGGGAGCTGGAGCTGACAGAGGGAGCTCAACCTGCTCTCTCCAGATTCAAACCTTTCGGTGAGCAGTGCTGCTGGCACAAGGGTTTAAGCCATTGCAACACAGGAGCTCCATTAATCCTAGGTGATTTCAATGCAGTTGTCGATTCATCCTTAGATAGAAAATCAGGGAAGATCCTTTGAAAAGTAGAAGGAGAACTCCAGCAAACCTTTTAAAACTTACAGAAAGAATATGGAATAAAAAACACATGGCCAGAAATGAACAGAAATTAAAAGGAAGAGACTTTCTGCTCAGACAGACTTATGAGACTGATATTGATTGCAGTTTGTTTGTATCTGCAGCTATTGTTGCATTTCATTGATTTTAACCAGAGAGGTTATATGTGGTTTTGTGTTATTGTTTGTGCACGTTTATATTTTGTGTGTCGGCACCTTTGAGTGCTTTGTGAGCTGCCTCAAGTCCTTTTGGGAGATGATGGCGGGGTATAAATAAAATTTTATTATTATTATTACCATTATCATCATCATCATTATAAGGCATATTCAAAGATTTATATGATTATGGATTTCAAATACTTTGATGGAAGTAGTGGAAAATATGGAAATATATCTGAAAGTAATTTCCAACCATGCTCCAATGTAAATTGAGATTAAACTACCATAGATCATTGTTTCTCAACCTTCCTAATGCTGTGACCCCATAATACAGTTCCTCATGTTGTGGTGACCCCCAACCATAACATTATTTTCGTTGCTACTTCATAACTGTAATTTTGCTACAGTTATGAATCGTCATGTAAATATCTGATATGCCCAAATTTGAATGCTGGTGTGGTGGTGGGGGGGATGCTTTTGTCATTTGGGAGTTGTAGTTGCTGGGATTTATAGTTCACCTACAATCAAAGAGCATTCTAAATTCCACCAATGATGGAGTTGAACTAACCATAACACACAGAACTCCCATGAGCAACAAAAAATACTAGAAGGGTTTGGTGGGCATTGACCTTGAGTTTTGGAGTTGTAGTTCACCTATATCCAAAGAGCACTGTGGACTCAAACAGTGATGGATCTGGACCAAACTTGGCATGAATACTCAATATGCCCAAATGTGAACACTGGTGGAGTTTGGGGAAAATAGACATTGATATTTGGGAGTTGTAGTTATTGAGATTTATAGTTCAGCTACTATCAAGAGCATTCTGAACCCCATCAATGATAGAATTGGGCCAAACCTCCCACACAGAACCCCCATGACAACAGAAAATACTGTGTGTTCTGATGTGGAGCACAGTGTCTACTCCACATCAGAACACCTGTATACATCCATTCAAAAATTTGTCAAATTTTTGTACACAAAGTTCCGGCATGAATGCAGAAGAAGTAGGTTTCTTAGAAGCAATGACAACCACAGCAAGAGAATAAGATTGTAGTGTACTTGCTATGCATAATCTGATTTGGCAACGTTAACTAAAAATCCCCCTCTCGTGCATTTATTTCATCCCAGGTGGCGATAAAGATTATTGACAAGTCTCAGTTGGATTCTGTGAACCTGGAGAAGATATATCGCGAAGTGCAGATCATGAAAATGCTGGACCATCCACACATCATCAAGCTTTATCAGGTCTGTAGCCATCCTTGGTGGGGATTGAGCTTCTTGCCCCGCAAAGTCACATCAATTTGTTCCACTCTTGATTCCAACTCTTACGTAGTGATCCATTAATTCTGGTTTTACACATCTAAAAGTATGTAAAGTTTGTTTGTGTTCAATTCGGTGTAGTTGTTGACATCTGAATAGCTTGCAAGGATTCATGAACTACCAGGGCTGGTAGACTCCTATTGACGTGAACTGTCTACCTATGTACATGATCTGATCATGATGATTTGGTCTTAATACCTCTGTTGTTTTTATTGGAAGGGCATGCTTTAGGTCTGCTTGATCCTATGAAGAACAAGAGAAAGAACTACCGTGTATACTTGAGTATACGCCTAGTTTTTCAGCCCTTTTTTAGGTTGAAAAACTCCCCTTGTCTTATACTCGAGTCAAGATTATTTATTATTTTACTCTGTTGTTGTTGTTGTTGTTGTTGTTATTTTATTACATTTATTATTTTACTCTGTTTATTATTATTACATTTACATTATTTTGTTTTACTCTATTTATTATTGTTATTATTATATTGTCATTATTATTACATTTACATTATTTGCACTCTTTTTTAAAATGTAGAACATCAAAGCTTCCAGCAATGGAAAAGAAAACCTTTTCATCAGCCATGGCTCAATGCCATGCAATCCTGGGAGCTGTAGTTTGACAAGGTTTGAGGCTTCTCTGCTAAAGAAAGCCGATGCCTCACCAAACTACGAATCCCAGGATTGCATAGCATTGAGCAATTAAATGAGAGGTGATGTCCCTCAAATAGGAGCACCAGATATTCCTGAAGCATCTTCCCCTTTTGCTTTGGCTCAGCACTAAGATTATTTTATTACACGAATCTAATGCTCACCCTTAGTTTGGCAAAGTCATTTAGCAAAAAAGAAAAAAAAGAAAAAAAAGAAGATGAGCATTAGATTCAGTTTAGTAGGGTGGATTTATCGCTCCACTAAAGGAATCCCTTTAGTGTGTGGATCATAATAAATTGTGGCAAGTTCTTGGTGGTATGTATGGGGATCCCAATTGACCTTGCCTGTCTCCTTAGGAATCTGTATAATGACCAAGAGCAATAGTCAGAATTGACCACAGAACTAGTTCAAGCTTGGGAAAGGAGTACGGCAGGGCTGTCTACTCTCACCCGACCTATTCAACTTGTATGCAGAACACATCATGCAACGTGCGGGGCTTGATGAATCCAAGGCTGGAGTTAAAATTGCTGGATGAAACATTAGCAACCTTAGATATGGAGATGATACCACTTTGATGGCCGAAAGCAAGGAGGAGCTGAGGAGACTTTTAACCAAGAAGAAAGTACAAAAGCTGGGATGCAATTAAACATCAAAAAAACCAAGATGATGGCAACCAGACTGATTGATAACTGGCAAATAGAAGGAGAAAAGGTGGAGCCTGCGACAGGGTTTGTGTTTCTAGGTATGAAGATGTCTGTAGACGCAGATTGCAGCCAGGAAATCAGAGGTGAGCAGTGACAAATCTTGATAAAATAGTGAGGAATAGAGACATCACATTGGCAATGAAGATCCGCATAGTCAAAGCAATGGTATTCACTGTAGCAACCTATGGACCATAAGGAAGGCTGAGTGAAGGAAGAAAGACATTTTTGAACTGTGGTGCTGGAGAAGAATTCTGAGAGTGCCTTGGACCGTGAGAAGATCCAACCAGTCCATCCTCCAAGAAGTAAAGCCCAGCTGCTCACTGGAGGGAAGGATATGAGAGGCAAAGATGTTGGCCACATAGTGAGAAGACAGGAAAGCTTAGAGAAGACAGTGATGCTGAGGAAAATGGAAGGAAAAAAGGAAGAGTGGGCAGCCAGGGGCAAGATGGATGGATGGTATCCTTGAAGTGACTAGTTTGGCCTTGAAGGAGCTGGGGGTGGCTACAGCCAACAGGAAGCTCTGGCGTGGGATGGTCCAGGAGGTCACCAAGACTTGGAAGCGAATAAACAACAACAAAGGAAAAAGGAAGGAAAAAAAAAAGAGGGGCCGACCCAGGGCAAGATGGATGGATGAGATCCTTGAAGTGACTAGCTTGGCCTTGAAGGAGTTGGGGGTGGCTATGGCCAACAGGGAACTCTGACATGGAATGGTCCAGGAGGTCACCAAGACTTGGAAGCGACTCAACGAATAAACAACAGCAACAAAGGAAAAAGGGGGGAAAAAGGAAGAGGAGCCAAGTTAGGGCGAAATGGATGGATAGTATCCTTGAAGTGACTGGCTTGACTCTGAAGGAGCTGGGGGTGGTGACGGCTGATAGGGAGCTTCTGGCGTGGTCCATGAGGTCACGAAGAGTCAGAAGTGACTGAATGAATAAACAACAACAAAGGAAGAAAGTATGGCTGGGTTCATGTTCACGGAGGAACCTAGCTCTAAAAGTGTCAGCGTTCTTCAACATTCATTCATGATTAAACCCGTCTCATTCCGATCTCTCTCTCACTCTGACTGTTCTCACAAGCCAGGCTGGAAAAGGATTTCCACGGGGCTTGTGGAATCAACGAGACTTCCTTTCTCACGGAGTCCTGTTGGTTTCCCAAATTCCAGTTGAAGAGGAAAGTTCTGCGGCTGCAGGTTCAGAAGTGCAGCTCACAGTTTAGCCAATTAAATAGTGCGGAGCAGTGAACCTCAAAGGTAGTATAAAGCTTGGAGCGTGGGCTTCCTAATTTACGGGGTTTATGCCAAGTTGTGTGGTTGAGTTGGAAAAATGTGTTTTTTTTAAGGCGGCTAAGTTTGAGGCTGACTTTATACAATGACGGAAGTTTCTTTCTCCCATGTCCTGAATACTAAGCGGGCGGAGGGAAACATCCCTCTTTCATGACTCAGTTGTTTTTCTCTCTTAGTCAGACACGGCTTGAAACATTGATTGGGTTGCTCATGCTTCACATTGAACCTAAGGGCCCGCGTGTCCTATAAATATAAACTAGGATGAAATGTCAGTGTCGTTGCTTCCTCTGTTGGAGTCGTGCATTTTTGTTTGCTGAATTCTGAGGATTCTTGCAGAATTTCCTAGTGTTCCCAACCTGTGGTCTGTGGACCACCAGTGATCCCCAAGAATTAAAATGTGGTCCACGGTCTCACTGTTACTACAACTTTGCAATGAGAGCGAGCGGTCTCAAAAACCCTCTTACAGTTAGCAGAGGCAATGGGGATGTCAGGAGTGGAGAAGCTATGACTATCACAAAGGCTGAACAACAAGCCTCCTGACTGCTGGTTCTCCTCCTCTTCCCTCCCTGAGTGAAGCTTTTCCACATGGCGCCTGAAAGCGAGGGAGCCTTGGTGTCTTCGTTTTTAGGCCTGTTCCTGGGTTATTTGGGGTGCTGATTCAGAAAATTGCATTGGGTAAACCACATCAGCTCTACATTATTAAATATGATTTTCTGTGGGCAAGCAGATGACGACTACTGGATGGCATATGTTCTGTATCAGAAACTACAGCTGATGTGGTCAATCCAATGCAGTTTTCTGAGTTAGCACTTCAAATAACCAAACCAAATCTAAAGTTGACCAAAAACAGATTTGTAACCCTTTTGGTACTAATGTTGGAGAATGGTTCCTGGTCAAAGTGGCCCCTGGTCAAAGTGTCCCCTGGGCAAAGTAGTCCCTGGTCCAAGTGGTTCCTGGTCAAGTGTTTCCTAGTCAAAGTGGCCCCTGGTCAAAGTGGTCCCTGGTCAAGTGGTTCTTGATTAAAGTGGCCCCTGGTCAAAGTGGTCCCTGGTCAAAATGGTTCCTGGTCAAAGTAGTCCCTGGTCAAAGTGGTTCCTGGTCAAAGTGGCCCTTGGTCAAAGTGGTTCCTGGTCAAGTGGTTCTTGATTAAAGTGGCCCCTGGTCAAAGTGGTCCCTGGTCAAAATGGTTCCTGGTCAAAGTAGTCCCTGGTCAAAGTGGTTCCTGGTCAAAGTGGCCCCTGGTCAAAGTGGTCCCTGGTCAAGTGGTTCTTGATTAAAGTGGCCCCTGGTCAAAGTGGTCCCTGGTCAAAAGTAGTCCCTGATCAAAGTGGTTCCTGGTCAAAGTGGCCCTTGGTCAAAGTGGTCCCTGGTCAAGTGGTTCTTGATCAAAGTGGTCCCTGGTCAAAGTGGTTCCTGGTCACAATAGCCCCTGGTCAAGTGGTCCCTGGTCAAAGTGGCCTCTGGACAAAAAAAAAAGGTCGGGAACAACTCTTTTAGAAGTATGCACCTCCACTGCTTCCTTGATCAAACCCACAAAAGCCATAGCTGGGTTTGAAACTCTTTAAATAGGTCATGTAAGCATGACTTCAGTCTGTGGTTCTTCATTATATGCTTAAGCTGGCGGACAGATAGAAAGGCATGCACTGAGAAGACCTTCCTTTTTAGTGCCTCTTGTCCTCAAAGTGTTCCTCAGCTCTGTTCTGGGGCCACATTCATCCCATTGGTGCTCTGATAGCACGTTCTTTAAAAGGATAACACATCCATTACCAGAAATGTAGTAGTAGTTCAGTTTTCTTCAATCATGTCTTATTGATGACAGAATTCCGTAAGTGGGTAGTTCTAATAGAAGGATGCAAACATTTTTTTTCTAAATTAGGAGTAAAGGAAAGAGTGGTTAATTTTGCAAAAATAACATCGCAATTGAATTCCTTCCTCCGGAAATGTTTCCACCAATAGTCACCTGAAACATGCCTTAAAAGGGAGATATTTTTGAAGTATTTGGTGGTGGAGGCATACATGACACATGGATGTCAGGCACTGTTACAACCCAGGATGTACAAAATGAATAATTGCAGAGTTAAGGAGTTATCGCTCCTCTCTTGCAACTTATTTCTTGGATTATTCTCTGTTTTTTGTTGCCGTGACACATTACCATGGGCACCTTAAGACTCTAAATGAGCTTAGCCCTCATTTGGTGCCAGTGGTGTGCTCTTGTGCCACGAGAGTATTTGGAAACCATCTTGGAATTTGTGGGACTCACTACAATCCTGTGAATTGTTAGCCCTTCCCATTTTTAGGAATGGACGTGAAGGAAGAAGTCATGTAAAAGCAGAGAGGAATTGGAAGGTGCAGAGGGAGAAATTTAAGAGTTTCATACATGTTGTATGTAGTTTCAAAAACATATCTGTTATAGCAGTTTCAAGTATGTGACAAATCTGGATAGGGAGAGAAAAGGGAAGAAGAGTTTAGTCTGAATTCAAATAATGAGGGATTGGAGTTGCTTGTTATAGACAGTTGACATATTAAATAAATACTTTAGGCTTATTTCCTGTTGTGTCTACTTGGCCACAAGAGACAGAAAGAAGACAATAATTACCCTATTTACTCAGCTCTAATGCTCACCTCTTTTTGGCTAAATTACCTATCCAAAATTAAGGTGTGCATTAGATTTGCATCATACGGTCATCTTATGGGGAAGCTGCCTCAGGAGCCTCTGGAGCTCCTCTTTGAAGGACGTCATCTCTCATTTAATGACCAGGACTCAATGCTGTGCAATTCTGGGATTTGTAGTTTGGTGAGGCATCGGCATTCTTTGGCAGAGAAGGCTCCAATCTTGTCAAACTACAGCTCCCAGGACTGCATAGCGTTGAACCAAGACAGTTAAAGTGGATTCATTCTGCAGCACCCCAAGGTTTCCTTTCCCATTGTTGAAAGCTTTGATGTTATAAATTTTCAAAAAGAGTGCACTATTTGTCTCTGCATATTACATTCAGCAGCAAATACTCTTCGTGTTTTCAGGATTTTGAAAATTGAGGTGTGCATTAGATTTGAGTCAATACGGTAAATGCTCATTAGATTCGAGTCAATACGGTATCTTTTCCCCTCCAATACACTCTATACATTTTGGATAATCCTCATTTCCTTCAAGCAGTGGGAAGCGGTTGGCAAGGTCTGGCCAAAAAGAAGCAAATATAGGGCTATTGACAAACGAGAGAAGCTTGCAGAAGTTGCAAACTTGAAAAATGGAAATATTCACAACCTTTTGGGAATTTTATGATCTTTGGAAAAGCATGACCGTGTTAGAAGTCACAACCTTTTGAAAAATGATGCCATAACGTTTTGGGAAAATAGCATTCATGCAAGGCAATTGGGTTTCTCAGCTTTTAAACTGATGTAAGTATTTCAACTGTTAGGGACAAAGCTATGCCAATGCACAAAACATGTATGTATGTATGTATGTATGTATGTATGTATGTACACACACACACACACAGCAGAGTTTCAGAAGTGTTCTTTTTAGTTGCCCCATAACATCTACTCTCTCTTAAAATACAGTTGCTTTTAAATCTCGGTTTCAAGAGACAAAAAATAAGCAGACATCTTTAGAAGTAACATAGTTGGTTTACTCAAACTTCATGTATTCGGCATACTTTACTTATCAATCCAGTTACAAATAGGATTTGAAGTAGTTTCTCTGTGTAGATAACACAGAGCATCTTTCTTGAATCTTAACAGTCCAAAATTCAAAGAATCTCTCTGTTCTGAGAGTCTAGTTGAGTCTCTGTCTAGTTTGAAAGTCCGATTGAGTCTCTAAACATAACGTTTCTGCTGAAGTCTCTAAGCATACGGTTCTAAAATGGAGTCTGATTCCTGAACAAGCCCAGACCTGATCGCATGGTCTGCAGCCCCACTCACAACAAAGTCTCCATCTAGTCTGAAATTCCAATGGAGTCTCTAAGCATAACTTTCCTACTAAGTCTGTAAGCATACAGTTCTAAAATAGTCTGAGTCTTGAAAAAACCCAGACCTGATCACATGGTTTGCAGCCCCACCCACAACAAAGTCCCTGTCTAGTCTGAAAGTCCAATGGAGTCTCTAAGCATGTGGTTCTAAAATGTAGTCTGAGTCCTGAACAAGCCCAGACCTGATCACATGGTTTGCAGCCTCACCCACAACAAAGTCCCTGTCTAGTCTGAAAGTCCAATGGAGTCTCTAAGCATATGGTTCTAAAATGTAGTCTGAGTCCTGAACAAGCCCAGACCTGATCACATGGTCTGCAGCCCCCCCCCCACAACAAAGTCTATTTAGTCTGAAAGTCCAGTAGAGTCTCTCATCATAACATTCCTACTGAAGTCTCTAAGCATACGGTTCTAAAATGGAGTCTGAGTCCTGAACAAACCCAGACCTGATCACATGGTCTGCAGCTCCACCCACAACAAAGAGTCTGGAAAAAACTGCAAACCGATACACACATATACAATACAGTAAGCAATTTGAATTATATACATACCGAATAAGTAGTGGAGGCTTGAGAAGGTTGCTATTTCCAACACAAATTTAAAACAAAACGGAGACGAAATGGCTCAAAGAAAATACAGGAGCAAACCACCACAATTTTGATACTTTGTGGGTGAATTCTCCCAGTTTGGCATTATTTGTGTCTCTGCCTCCAAGGTGTAAAGTGTTGGCTTAGAGCCTTTTGCCTCAGTTTTCCGAATATTCCTGGAAGACATAAATTTATCTTATAGATCTTTGGCGGAAAAAATGCAGGCTTCTGTTTAGAGAAGCGCTTGATCGTAAACCGGTGAAGTAAACAGCAGCGAGGAAGCTTTCAGTGGCTACTTGTGATGTGTTTGGGGACAAAATAGAAAAAAACAAAGTTTCTAGGAATTGCTTCCTTCTTTCCCCTCTTTTTTGCGCAGTTCCACTAATGTGTGGCTTCTCTGTCCACAGGTGATGGAGACCAAAAGCATGTTATACCTGGTGACAGAATACGCCAAAAATGGAGAAATATTCGGTAAGCCTTCTCACGTCAAAAATAGCTTGCTAGCTTATTTCAGTGGCGGCGTGCTCTGGCTTATTTGGGGATTGTTTTGATTTCAAACGCGGAAGATTTATATCTCTCAGTGTTTTCTTCAGGCATAATAAAGCAAGAGCTAATTCAACTTGTTTTTAATCATGGTTGTGCTGCTTCTTTAAATGAAAGGGAAGATAGAGAAGAATATGAGGGTCATATTCCATTCAGTTAGTTGCTTGAGGAAGCCGTCGAGGTCTTTAGGGAAAGGCTTTAATGGTTTGAACCCGCCTTAATAATCTCTTTAATCCAGCCATCTTGGGCGGTGGCTGAACATGATAAGGCTTTGAATACTTTCCAGGCTTTGCAGCTCTTTTTTTTTTTTAATTTTTTTTGCAAAGCGAAGCAGATGATCAGCCATAGAAACATCTTCATCCATCATGTGTTTTGGGCACATGTTGTATTATGTTATCTGCAGACCTGGTTAAATGGTTAAACGATGAAACGGTATTTTCCTTCCCAGAGTAAGGAAATACCCTCAGCAATATGTCCCTAAATGCACTTTATCACTGATTTAGGATTATCTGCGCGCCCCATCTCTACCTGAAAACTCTAACCCCGTTATATCCTACCCTGTACATGCCCAGTATTATTTTTAAAATTTTGAATTATTACATTTGGCCCAGCCATAGATTTTAAATGCATGTTGTTATTGTTACTGTTTATTGTTTACTTTCGTTTATGAGAGTTATTTTAACTGTTGTATTGATTGTTTTCTTATTGCTTTTACTGTTGATGTACTTTGGGCTCGTCCTCATGTAAGCTGCACCGAGTCCCTTGGGGAGATGGTAGTGGGGTATAAATAAAGTTATTATTATTATTATTATTATCTTTGAAATCCTACAAGTTGGCTTTCCATATCCATAGATTCTGCATCAACGCATTCAACCTTGGTTGTGCAATTTGATATTATGGATGCTATTTCCATACACTGCCGTATATATTGCAGCTTGAGCATCCCCAGATTTTGGTATCTACAGGGGGAACCAAACCCAAACCAAAGACCCTTTGTGTTTTAGTTTGGGAGGAGAGGATGTTCCAGGATGAAGCCGTGACAGCAAAGTCATGGCCTAATTGTTGAAATGATTGGAAACTAGTTCCCCAGACTCCATCTACACTACTTTCTAATCCAGTTTCTGAATACAGATCATTCTTTGAGCTGGATTTATATGGCAGTGTAGACTCCTATAATCCACTTCAAAGCAGACAACCTGGATTCTGAAACTGGATTATATCTATGTCGAAAGCTTTCATGGCCAGGATCACTGGGTTGCTGTGAGTTTTCTGGGCTGCCTGGCCATATTCCAGAAGCATTCTCTCCTGATGTTTTGCCTCCATCTATGGCAGGTATCCTCAGAGGTTGTGGGGCCTGTTGGAAACTAAGTAAGTGGTGTTTATATATCTGGAATGTCCAGGGTGGGAGAAAGAATTCTTGTCTGTTCGAAGCAAGTGTGAATGTTGCAGTTGGCCACCTCGATTAGCCAGCTAACACCTTCCAACAAAGGATTTCCCCAGGCAGGAAGCAGCCAGGCTTTGAAGCTGCAAGGCCATTCAATGTTAATTAAGGTGGCCAATTGCAACATCCACACTTGCCTCAAATAGACAAGAGTTCTTTCTCCCATCCTGGACATTCCATAGAAACCTCACTTGCCCAGTTTCCAACAGACCTCTATGCAGATACCAGAAGCATTCTCTCCTGATGTTTCATCCACATCTTCAGAGGTTGTGATGTCTGTTGGAAACTAGAGAAGTGAGGTGTGTGTGTGTATGTATGTGTGTGTGTGTGTGTGTGTGTATGTCTCTCTCTCTCTCTCTCTCTCTCTCTCTCTCTCTCTATATATATATATATATATATATATATATATATATATCTCCATCCATCCCTGTGGAATAATGTCCAGTATGGCAGAAAGAACTCTTGTCTGCTTGAGGCAAGTGTCAATGTTGTCACTGATAACCTTGATTAGCCTTGAATAGCCTTGTAGCTTCAAGGCTTGGCTGCTTCTTGCCTGGGGGGAAACCTTTGTTGGGAGGTAATTAGCTGGCTCTTATTATTTGTCTGGAATTCCCGTTTTGTTTAGTGTTGCTCTTTATTTACTGTCCTGATTTTAAAGTTTTTAAATACTGGTAGCCAGATATTGTTCATTTTCATGGTAATATAATATCAATTAATCACACCAATTTCCATATAATGTGAAGTTGTGTGTTGGAGAGAGGACACAGGCTGTGGGGTATCCCCACTCTATGTTTCATAGCTTTTACAGTTTTTACTTTACATCTTGCTGCCTCTCAAATCGTTCATGGGGATAGTTTGGGAAACTCAGTGCCTCGATGCTGGGACAATCCGTACTTCCTGTGTCCCCAAGTGTGAAATTTGAGCAATCCTCTGTTGTTCCCTCTCGGATGTGGTGCGTCTCTCTCCAGCGTTTGCAGAGACGTCTCCTGAGAGGAAATGCAGGAATGAGGGCACCAACCTGCATGCAAGGACAAATCCGACACTTCTCTGTTCATTATCACTTTATCTTTTCCCACAGCAATTGTTTTTGGGCCGTTTCCATGTAGATGAGGCTTCCTGTCATTCAATGGCAACTTTGCTTGAGTTGGCTAATTATCATTAGCATTCGACATAGGACTCCATGTGACAGAGTCTTGTTGAGAAGAGAACCTATACATTATTTTAAACCAAAGGACTGAGACCTATCTCCTTAATCATAGGTATTCTCTCCAAACTTCACCCGTAATATTATTATACCCATAAAATGAATTTATGAGGCATCTGTACTATTAGGAGCTATTTTAGAAAGTGGTTATTACCCTCTTATGTCCAAATGAGGAAATTCTAAACTGAATCTATCAGAAGATGGTTGTTGTTCATAGAATCATAAAATTGGAAGAGACCGCAAGGGTCATCCAATCCAATCCCCTGCCATTCAGGTGTTGTGTTGTCGAAGCCTTTCGTGGCCAGAATCACTGGGTTGCTGTGAGTTTTCCCGGCTGTCTGGCCATGTTACAGAAGCAGTCTCTCCTGACATTTTGCCCACATCTATGGCAGGCATCCTCAGAGGTTGTTAGGTCTGTTGGAAACTAGTCAGGTGTGGTTTATAGGTAAAGGTAAAGGTTTTCCCCTGACATTAAATCCAGTCATGTCCGACTCGGGTGTGGTGCTCATCTCCTTTTTTTAAGCTGAAGAGCCGGCATTGTCCGTAGACACCTCCAAGGTCATGTGGCCAGCATGACTGCATGGAGTGCTGTTATATATCTGTGGAATTCCCAGGGTGGGAGAAAGAACTCTTGTCTTCTAATCAAGGTTGGATTTGGCCAGCTTGATTAGCATTGAATGGCCTTGCAGCTTCAAAGCCTGGCTGGTTGCTGCATGGGGATCCTTTATTGGGAGGTGATTAGCTGTTCCAGATTGTTTCATGTCTGGAATTTCCCTGTTTTTGAGTGTTGCTCTTTCTTTACTGTCCTGATTTTAGATTTTTTAATATAGTGGTAGCCAAATTTTGTTCATGCTAATCAAGGTGGCCATTTGCAGCATTCACACTTGCCTCAAACAGGCAAGAGTTCTTTTCTCCCACCCTGGACATTCCACAGATATATTCTCCCACTTTGCTTAGTTTCCAACAGATTTCACAACCTCTAAGAATGCCTGCTACAGATGTGGACAAAACATCAGTAGAGAATGCTCCTGGAACATGGCCAGACAGCCTGGAAAACTCACAGCAACATTGTTGTTGTTGTTGTTGTTGTTGTTGTTATTGTTATCCCCCACTTTTATCCCAGAACGGGCCCAAAGCAACCTTAGAAGCATTCAAATTGTAAATATGTATAAATAAACTAATTAAAATTATTAAAAACCATTCAATTAAAACACCATTAAAATATTTTTTTTATTATTTTTTTATATTAATCCCACTTTGCCTAGTTTGTAACAGACCTCACAACCTCTGAGGATGCCTGCCATTGATGTGGGCGAAACATTAGGAGAAAATGCTCCTGGAATATTATCAGAAAACTCACAGCAATCCTGTTGTGTGAGTTGTTGTTGTTGTTGTTGTTGTTGTTGTTATTGTTATCCCCCACTTTTCCCCCAGAATGGGCCCAAAGCAACCTCAGAAGCATTGAAATTGTAAATACGTATAATAAACGAATTAAAATTATTAAAAACCATTCAATTAAAACATCATTAAAAATAAATAAATGTTGTTGTTGTTGTTGTCGTCATTATCGTCGTCATCCCCCACTTTTCCCCAGAACGGGCCCAAAGCAACCTTAGAAGCATTCAAATTGTAAATATGTATAAATAAACTAATTAAAATTATTAAAAACCGTTAAAAATAAATAAATTTTGTTGTTGTTATTGTTATCCCCCACTTTTTCCCATTAAAAATAAATAAATTTTGAAAAAGCTAGAAGCAGTGCAACTCGAGCGGTGCCTATTTTGTTGTCAGAAGGCCAAGAGCTGGGCGCAGCAGAGGTGACTTTCACGAAAACGTTCCTCAACAATAGGTCTGAAAGATTGTGTGTTTGTGTAAGTCATGGCTTAAGCGCAATGCGGTTACATCATCCAGGAACAGAACGCAAACCGGCCCTTCATTCCTGAAACCTGGCTTCAGGTCTGGGAACGGCTTGCTTGCTGATCTGGGTGAGATATTCTTCGAAGGGCAAAGTGACACTGAAGCAGTTAAGGGGATAATCTTGCTTAAAGTCCCTAGTCTAAATGGTAGGCAGTCGGTGTGGCTTTGTCAGTGTTCTTGGGTGGAGGAAGGACTCTTTTGACTGGAGTGGAGTTCATTGCTTCATGCTGGAGGAGAGGGCTTTAGGGATTGGCGAACAGAGGAGGTGGAGATGCCAAGAGATGCTGCCCTCCTCTTTGCTCAATGCCTCCGCTTTAGAGCGAGCCTTTCTGAGCTGGCAGCAGTCCTGAACATGTTTGTGCTGTA